ACGGGTACAACTTGTCATATGCAGCACCGACACCCAAGAGAGAGAGAGAGAGAGAGAGGGTCCTGTGTTTCATGTACGGGTACAACTTTCCATATGCAGCACCGGCACCCAAGAGAGAGAGAGAGAGAGAGCGAGGGAGAGAGAGAGAGAGAGAGAGAGAGAGAGAGAGAGAGAGAGAGAGAGAGAGAGAGAGAGAGAGAGAGAGAGAGCAACTGTCACAAGGATACGAGGCCACGACTTCATTTTCACTTCCCTGTTTTGATTGCCTGCAGTTCCCGTGCTTGCTTTACCCTCCTCCTCTCTCATTCCATAAGGTTGTCACTCGGGTTGCAATGCTTGCTTACACACAAGAGGTCCAAGACCCACTCTCTATGAATCGAACCTATGACCTGCCACCAAAGAGGCGGATCACCAAACGAATAGGTAGAGTGATGGGACGAAAGTAACACCCCTTGTGGGGCATTTCACCTCACCCCAGCGTGGATGTTATTCCATGACCCTGAGTACCCAATGACAATGCAAAATCCAAGAAGGTCACATCTCACAGGCAGACAACCAAGACATTTGATGGCAAAAGGCTCGCAGAAGTACACCACCGGCAAGATCGCCAATAACATCGCAAAAGATCGCACCATTTTGAGCCAATCAAGTAACTGAATAAACAGAAAGATATTCAGAAAGACAAAAGGACGGGGATGAAGAAAACATGCAAATGGAAAGACGGAAAATTCAGGAGAGCAAAGATGGAACTCMATCAACAGGTAAGACTCAGAAACAGTTCAAAAATCAGTAGTCTCCAGTTTTCCTTGCTGTAGACATTTCCATCAACTATACAAGTACAAAACTCGTTTTCGAAAAACTGCCGTGTCCTCTGATGGATGTGGAATTCACATGGATGGTCCAAATCAATCCCCACTTTCCCTTGCTGGCATTCCCGTCGACTATACAAGTACAAACTCAGTGGAAAAACTGTCCTCCCATATCCAATTTCACATGGATGGTACTACAGCCCTAGCCTAATCATAGCGGTCACACAACTCTTGCCAGCTGAAAGAATCCCAGACAGGAAACAAAATTCTTGGTGGAAATCAAAACTCCCAGTTACTCTTTGCTACTATGGTATGCAGCATCTGCTACGCTTGTGTCCATCTCCGTAAGCCCCAGTTCCTCATTCTGTTCGTAAGTCCTTTCGAATTCCTCGATCTTCAGCCGCTTGTCGTCCGCCATGACATCCGTAACAGGCGCTATAAATGAGTTAGCAAGTGGATCGTCAAGGATCAACGTCCATGGCATCTTAGCTAATGTCAAAAGATCGCGCAGCCTCCTATCAAAATCCACCCATCTCTGCTTCTGTGACTCCTGCGCGCTGTCCCCAAAGCCAAATCCATGCACACTCTTCAAGCGTTCACTGATCTGTGTCAAAAGCCCCTCGACTGTCGTCACAAGACCGCCAAGTGTCCCTGGAGACAGTTCCAATTCCAATTCTGGTATCTGGACACCYGCTGTGTCGGACTTTATGACATCGCGCTTCAGGTCTKCTTCATCCTCTATTCTCACTGTGATTGTTCTCCCCTTCTCTGGGATGGCACCACCRGGTTTCAACTCGGAGTTSCGGTAACCACATGCRTCACAGGTGGATGCCATGACAATGACCTYCTTGAAGTAAGGGATGTTAGTGACAAACATCCGTGTCTCACATGGGACCGCACAAGCTCCGCATGTGGAAGGAAACACCATGACCTCTTCGGGTGCTGAGTATTTGCAGATGGCAGCAAACATGTCCTCGCTAGTGGCCTGAGCAATCGCAYGATTTGCAGCGACAGCACCGACGGCTCCATGTGGTCGGCGCGTTCCTGCAGGCACATACTTCGTCATTGCAGCAGTGCTGCCTGCAACACCRCCACTCTCTGCGCCYGCAGCACCACCRCCAACACCTTCGGTGCCATCCCTGTTCGACATGGYGCAGACCTGCTCYGCCTCCAACCCAAAGGCGCCTCCTTGCTCGCCGGACACCGTATCGTCTGTCAAGAACCCAAGCGCCCGAGTCTGCTCTTTCGAGCGCTCGTAGTGCGTAACCGACATCGAGGGATCTTTCGCWGGCGCTCYAGGATTTTCAATAAAGCTATTTCCAGCAGGGTCATCAAGGATCACTGTGAACGCAGACTTGCCTTGTACACAAGCRTCTAACTTTCCTAAGAATGCATCGATTGCGTCGGCAACCGCWGGGTCGATTTTCCGCCGCTCATCCTGCGACTCACGGAGTCCATCGCCTGCCCTCCTGAGAATTCCTTCAACCGTCGACAGGCTGCCTTTCTGTGACGCTGGCGGTACTTCAAACTCCAACTCAGGGATGTAAATGGCTGCAGAGTCAGACTTCACCACTTGCCTATTCATGTCCTCTTCAAACGAAGCGCCCGGCGAAATGGCAAGCTTGTACTGGCACCCATGTGGCTGGAGCTGGCCTGCAAACTGGATCTCGTTATTCCTCTCGCCGCAGTGGGGGCATTCAAAGGCCATCAGAACGACTTCTCTGAAGTGGGGAATCTTTGTCATAAGCACTTGTGTGGTGCCGTTTTCTTCGCATCGCATGCACAAGCTCTCAAGCGTATGCAATGGGGTAGCAATCTGCTCGCTGTCTTGTTCCTTGCTGGCATCATCCTGGGTAACAACAAAGCCAAACCGCATAATTGCATCAAGGAAAAACGAAGAAAAGATAATGAAGATCGCAATGATAGGAGAGAACAAAGGCAAACAACAATACAAACGCTATGCGGCACGTGCAAAGAGACCAAGCTGTGCAAGAAGCAATGAGAGAGAGGGAGAAGCGTTGTTCCCAAGATACTGTGATGGTCGGGTTTGCTGAGTGTTTTGATGACAGTTCTATTGCTGATCAATAATCCTTTTTAACCACTGGTAATATGTCTTATGGCTATCCAATCATAGATAGTTTGACCAACTTCTATAAAATCTCTCTTGTTTGGTACTGCCAGCAGGGCCCAGCACCATTTTGATGTTTTTCGATTATACCAAAAAAAATACATTTATTGCTTTGGAATCTATCTTTGTTGTTAATCCTACTCTGTACTTGTTGGAAGCAGTATCCTCCTAGAAAAAAAAAGACTGCTCTTCTATCCTCCGCATTTGTCATCAAAGATTCCTTCAATGAACAGCCAACCTCGTCTTCCCAACACTGTCACCCTGCAATCTCGTATTAGCTAATGCCAACAGTCAAATTTCAAGGAAATCTGCAAAAACGGCGAACTCACTTTCCAGACGATCCATGACTTTAACTCCTACTCAGCAGTTCCACAGAAAAAGGCGATCATAACTGCTGAGTAGCGGTAATAACTGCTGAGTAACAGCTGTCTGCATATACTATATCAGATGACTTCGGACGTCAAACTGACTGGACTACAGCTACTATCTCTTAAAAGGCTTCTACTATCATGTTCCAGGTTCAACACACAATGTAGACCGGATAGGAGTCCATACCTTAACCCTGGCAGTCCTCAACATTTCTCTAGACTCTTCCATTGCCTTCTCATATCCTGCCACGTCGACAGTCAAGCCCCTCTCTTCTGCCATGAGCTGCACAACAATACACAGCCAGTCAGCACCATCAGGCAATGGCAAAAGGCATACAAATAGAACCGAGGCAGTTCTGACAGTCCTAGTTTACCAGGCAAATTTGTCATATGACCCTGCAGGCCTCCATATTGCCTCCTCCTGGCGGTCTCGCCTCCAAATGCTTCACAAAAAGGCCACAGGATACCACAGACTAGTAGGTAGGTAACATGTGACCACTGACTCACTGGACAGTGGTGAGACCAGCAACATATTCTTTCCACCTGGGTACTCGTAGGCATACTTGCATTCAAATTTGGATCATTCAATTTTCACATCCAACCGTGGACAGTGGTGGAATTCACAACATATTTTTTCCCATCAGAGTCCTGGTAGGCCTGCTTGCGTTTGATTTTTGCTTCCAACCGAAAGGACCCACAAAATTGCACTGAACCTTACCTGGGTCAAATCTACMGGGAAGCCAAACGTATCCCACAGCACAAACGCATCCTGCAAAGTGACAKAGACAACACACCKATGTCTGTCAAATTCTTTGCAATTCATGGCCCCCCATATTACCCATTGATTTTTCCCAATTTCATGAATGATTCTGCAATGCTGAATGATTGCAATATTCATGCTCAAGTCCTTCGCAAGTGGCAGAAATGGTCCAAATTAAAAAATAATGCGTTCAACATTGCACTAAGGAGAGATCACAAGTCCGACAGGTTCATCTGACTTTGTAACACTTTGCGAGGCAAAGAAAAAGTGATCTAGGGAAGCACAGCCCCGAGTCCTGACCCAGAGCCAAGCCACATACTAACATTGTTGTGTTGTTTCAACCACAGGATCAGATCAAACCATACTTGCGGCGCGTAGGTGAAGTGCGCTGCGCAGTATGCTGCACGGTGCGCGGTGCGCTAATCCGAGGTAAGCCGTGGTGTGTATACACGCTGGAGAGAGAGAGAGAGAGAGAGAGAGAGAGAGAGAGAGAGAGAGAGAGAGAGAGAGCACAGAGCCCTTTCAAATTATTCAGACAACCCCTGCCGGTACTTCAAAAGGTCCCTGCCAAAAATTGGCAAGTGTCCCTTCGGCTGGAACGGGGTGTCACTGGACTCAGTAGTAATATGGCAGTAGGCCAGCTACTTATGGTGTAGGTTCGATTTCAGGTCTGTGTTTCAGCAGTTATGGGTTACTGACTTACTAACTCGGCATGTGATTTTGAGGGCTTCACTCCACTCCTCACCAAATGTGCAAAACTAGAATCAATCTTCTGCTAGAAACTGGAACCATACGCGGCCATATGTTATTCTTTTCTGCAAGTGCTGGTGAGTGGAGCCAGGCCCTTAGGGCCACTGCAGGCAAGTGAGAAAGGAAAAACAAAAAAAAGAGACAGCTACTGTATGTGCAAAACTAGAATGAATCTTCTCCTAGAAACTGGATCCATACAAGCCACATCCGTTTTTCTTTTCTGCAAGCGCTGATGAGTGGAGCGAGGCCAAGAGGAAACGAGACAACTACTGGAGTGTTTGTGGTAAATTCGTAATCCATAACTCTTGGAACACAGACCTGAATCCGAATCTGGGATATATTGCTGGCCTACTCGTGGTCTTCAAGCAGTCCAATGAACGTCCTTCCGAATGTTATGGAAACCCTGCTAATTGCTTGCAGGGTACTTTTTGGAAAGGAGAATCAAACCAATGAGAAGTACAATGAGGCCCCAAAATATTCTTTGTGTACTTACCCTTCTTAAAAGGGAGGGACACATGGGTACGACGACCTACCCCTTCTGATTTTTTTTGTTTATTATTTTCTAAATGCGCTGCATCACGTGTGTGCGCACGTGTGCGCGTGTGCGCTGCGGCGCATGTGCGCAACCTGCGCGGACGTGATGCATCACAAGTATGGATCAAACGCCTTGCACCGCAGAGATCAATTCAACCGACAAAAAACGCAAAACACCGTATAATATGGAGTACAAAGGAAATGTTCAAACCAAAATATTCTCCAGAATCTCCATCGTCTATCTTTGCCATCTCAACAAGTCATATTTGGCTATAACACGACCGTTGACATTTCAAGGCTAAGTAGGGTTCAAGCCATATGAGGGTATGAACGCCATACATGGATCAGATTAATTGCCATATGAGGGTATGAACGCCATACATGGATCAGATAAATTGCCTTCCATGGTAAAAACCCTGCCTGAGGGTGGGATTTCAGCCCCCAGGCACACTTGCATTCACAGACCGCCCAAGACCCACCCACAGGATCAAGGCTGGAGTGCAGAACAGACTGCCTTAAAGCTAACCCATTCCAGGCCGACCCCCCCCGCCCCCCCCCCGAAAGAGACCCACCCGCATCGCACCACCCTGTCACTCAAAAAAATTGCATAATTTGTCTGACCACCGTTGAGCCCTCACTAATAACGGTACCCCAACAACCGCACATCGCGATTGCATTTCCAATATTAGTTGAAGTTCATCCAGCCTGGTTCAGTCTTCAACCCTTCAAACCGCTGGCCCTCATCCACCTGACATATATTCCTTGACATAATATATATTCTTAACTTCATTTGTGGTGACATCTACTTCTATCAGAATCCAAACTTTCCAAGAACAATTGCTTCTCCTTACAAGGTCTTACTTCACTTGTGAAAACGGTGCACTTTCCAGACCTTACATTGAAACACTGAGCCAGCCTTTGCATTGCAGTCAAAAGAGACGTGGAAGAAATACCCAATTCTTTAGGACTAAAAAACACTGAATGCCTAGACCTTGCCTGGAACAGAGCCATCCTGTGGATTACAATCCTGGAACAGAGCCATCACGTGGATTACAATCAACCGACACGTAGAAGAGATACTGAAGAAAGTAGCGTTGGAGAACGATTCTTTGAGGGAGATAAGACAACTGCAACTGCCTACCTGACCGCTTAATTTCCCATCCTTGACCTCCTTCACTGCCTTGTTGAATCTGTCAATACCCTGTTTTGACGAGCAGCAAGAAAATCAATCATCAATGTTAGTATTCCACAACGCTCTTCTTCTTGGTTCTCTCTAAAATCGGGTGTGGTACACCCCCAACCACCAGCCTCAGTCCGCAGCCAAACAATGAACACAACAAGTACAAAAAACATTGGAGATAGACTAGCAAACTCCAGAAGAACAAGCAGAGGCATGCTCCCTCGAAAGCAGAGGCATGCTCCCTCGAAAGCAGAGGCTGAACTCTTTACGACAACCCTGCAACTCTGAACTCCAAGAGGTCAGCTTCCAACTCTGAACTCCAAGAGGTCCGCTTCCTCGTCACACAGAAAAAAAAATTGCCCATCAGCACACCAAGGAAAACACATATCCACTAAAAGCCTGAGACGCCTACCAATTTGGAAAGAGAAATCTTCACAGACGTAGAATATACGAAATCAGCCCTCACTCTGCTAATGCACGATAAACAACAGCAAATCCAAATCAACTGCATTTACGCTACCATCACGTCGACCTCCTTAATGACAAGAGAGAAGACACATCGATTAAGAAAAGTGAACCGAGAATCTGACCTTCAGAAGAGTCCTTCCAAAACTTGACTCTTCTTCGGCAATAATACTCTTGATCTTGGACTCCTGCTTCACCAATTCTGGGAAAATTTCACCCATGGTTTCCACAACAGTGGGCACCAGGCTGGGGGGGTGGGGGGAGAGACGGAAACAAAACGCCAAAAGATAACGCAGTGCAACTCCATGAGCACCTTCAGATGCCAGACCAATTACAGAAGACAAAAGTCAATATAAAACCTAGATCCGTGTTTCTTTCAGTTTTCACTCGAACCTAACTGAGCTCCAAAACATCTACAGATGAAGCAGCTAACCTTCTTCCCCCTGAATACAATGTACGGTCAGACCATACTTTGTATTCCGGGGAAGAAGGTAGTCTCTCATCCGACTATGCTGCCCTTCCCACAAAGTAACCAGTGTTCATGAATGCTACCTACACCCTCAGCGACCCAACATACAAAGTCCCTCCTCATCATGCCAGGAGCCAAGGAGGGAGAAATCACATCCCCAAAGGGAATTATATGTTTCCCAGTAACTGTCTCAAGGGCCCGGGAACACTTACATAGACGTCTACTGCCACATTCAGATCCCTCTCATCACAGCGGCTCACCAAAACTGGTTAAATAGCACCATCCACTTCCCAGATGAGTCAACACAACTAGTAGGGATGTTGGCACTTGCATCATTCAGCTGAGAATGACGTGACCCAAATGCTAGGGATAACATTCCATCCAAAATGCAAGTGCCAAAACTTTCCGGTTATAACCTCAGGCACAGAAAGAGCTGTCTGGATAGRAAAMGTTGTGTAAAAGAGCCACAGTAACTGTCCTAGAATCTKAYACGGGRGCACTCCCTCCAGTCCCCCAAAGCRGRACCMCATTAGATAGTTACATACCTGCTGAARAACCCTTCCGGAGCTTTGAGCACTTCCCTCCCATATCGAACTGCTCTTCTCAAAATTCTTCGAAGAACATATTCTCTACCCAGATTACCTGAACGTCAAAACATGCCAGTCACAACAATCCAATCAATCACWCTTTGCCGTTCTCATACTCACAGATGACGAATCACATYCGCAGACAACCCTGCATCCATCCACACACRCACAGTAMGCAGTGAGGAAGAGCCTATATCACCTCATAATCAGAAGCTACTATTTCGACCCTACTGTATACAATTGAAAGCAAAAGGAAGAAACGAAGATCACAACTACAGCAAATCAGTTGGCAAACACTTCCATTAAATGATTGTTTCCCGAATTCCCGAACCTCACAGACACAGGTTTCCTCTTTCGCTGTTCGTCTACTTCACCGTACTCCACAAAACAACTTGGAAGGAATGGAGGGGCAATACAAGTGCAAGCAAAATGAGTAAATCTCACCTGGTCGTGATCCATCTGCAATTGCGAAGGACAGAGTCCGTATGTGATCGGCAACCACTCGATATGCCATATCAACATTGCCAACGTCTTCCTCACCCAACTTCCCCTCGTAAGGACGAGCACCTGTGACCTGTGGACATACCAGCAATAGACAGGGACCAGTTAAAAGTTGAAACTGCACTGCAATTGCCACGTTCTTTTCTGGGATGGTCTATACTGGTTTTCGACTTTCTTTCACCATCACCACACCAGATCACAAAAGAAAAGGCCATCCCACACCCCAAGGCACCCACCATCAAACTTAACAGGTGCGGAATTATAGATATATGCTAATCACTACCTCCAGCTAAACAGCGACAATGGAGTCTACACCACCAGTGCACGCCCCCCCCCTGCAAAACTCGCAACCGTATACACACTGCAAATTGAAGGGCTCGGCCTATTCAAACCAAGAGGGGTACTGTCGGAGTGCAAAAATTCGAGTACCCCAGTCTGCCAATCTTTCTTTCTAATTTCCCGTGTTAAAAAAAATTCTGAAAAAAAAAAACAAATCACGGATGTACGTTGCCTTCCACTACATAAAGTGAAACACGAAAATCCAAAAAAAAACAAAACCGGTTTCAACAATCAGGGCTGCTGCGCGGATGCATGTGTGCTGGGATCTTGGCCAACGCTGGCACTTGCGGGCATGCTGCGCGGATGCATGTGTGCTGCGCTGTGCAAGGCAGTGCTGCGCTAAAGAGCAAGCAGGCCAGCGCTAGGCGGTAGGGAGCTGCCTGCATTGAGGGCACTGGCGGCCATAGCCTGGGCCGCATGAGGGTGCAGGGGAGGTGAGGGCGAAGGTGGTACTTCGGAGGTGAAGGGCGCTGTGTGAGTAACAAGGGAGAGTGTGGGGAAGATGACACGTACCTGGTGATGGTGGAGGTCGGCATTGGTGTTGACATCATACCTCGTTGGTAGTACCTCGTTGGTAGTCAAGTTGTCTGGTTGCTTTTCATTGCTGTAGTTGTAGGATAGCTGTAGAGTAGATAGGGCGCCTGGCGCCATTCACAAGAGAGAGCTACATTTGGTTTATGCTGTTGGTGTTGCCCTGTTGGGCATGGACATTGACTCACGATTCTTCTGTATCATTCTCAATTGGATGGTTACNAGAGAGCTACATTTGGTTTATGCTGTTGGTGTTGCCCTGTTGGGCATGGACATTGACTCACGATTCTTCTGTATCATTCTCAATTGGATGGTTACCCGGTTCCATGTGCTATCTGCTTTGGCTTTGACTACTTGGACTTCAGTGTGATTTTGCATTCTGGATTTCTGTGCTTAGTCCATACTCGTGTTCCTTGCAATTTGGTATTGGAGCTGGTTTGATCGCCACTTACCTTTGGCATGCTGGCGTTACACAGACTTGGTGTGTTGGCGATGCTTCTTCGCAGTGGGTACTTGTGACGTCAGGCTACTATAGGTGCACGCCCTGGGTAGAGAGGGGTGCACCGGCAGGCTATTGACGGCATTATTAGCCATGGGATACAGCAGAATGTTTGATTGGTGATGAGAGCATGCTGATGTGACATTGGACTAAGGTGGCACTGCATTGCGTTGTGGGTGGTACCRAGGTCATGACCGGTCATCAAATGCAACATCAGCTCAATTGGTGAGAAATCTGTGGTTGGGGGCAGCTATCTCCAGGTACATTGTTCCCTTACCTTATCTACTCTCTCAATCTCTTCTTACCGTGAGGAAGTGAGTCCAACTTGAGAGTCCTCTCTTTTGGTGAGGTGTCGTGAGCGCGCTACCTTGAGAGACGACAATCTTCCCGGATGCATCTGGAAGGAGAAAGGGCGGTCGAAGCACTTGGGTCACAGTCACCATGCCAACCCACAGGGAGTAGTGCACGCACGTGATGGCTGCTGTCCTGTTTGGCACTTGCTACGCTGATAGAAGTTCCTCCGGGTGTGCCAGCCCATGACAGACGCTTACCAGACCCTCTATAAACATTTCTGGTTGGGAGTTCATTGTGAATCTGGCTGTGATCGTCGTCCTGACTGCAACGTTAAATAATTCCTGCAGACATGGGGGCGCTCTATAAATTCCTCCTGATCAGCCAGATCACATGGACAGGAAGGCTCGTCGCCGTACGAGGGTAAATAAGAGTGGTTGGGCTGGCTTGCTCGGTGACAACTTGGGCACAGGGGTGGGCCGACATACACACGAAGACACTGCCTGCTCAAAGATGCTGTTCGGATGGTTGGATCGAGGGGAGGGTAGGTTCCAATTGGTGCTCAACTGTATACACAACCATACCCATCAATCATACATCTGCTACATTGTCTTTCTGGACCTTTGATTAGTTGGTTGATGGACTGCTAACCTCACAGACAGATTAGTGTAGGACTGATGTATGCTACCATAGCCAGTTCTAACTAAGGCTGCTGTAAGTGAACCACTCAGGGTGCGTCTAGACTATGTAGACAATCTGTGTGAATGTTGTAGAAATGCCACTTGATTCGGTATAGTAGGATACTCGCCGGACACAACTATTGTTAGAAAATTTGGTGCCGGTCAGATACATGCTGTGGTAGGATTCTACAAGGGGATTCTAGTACAGAAACTATCTGCCTAACTAATGAGTGGATCAGAACCTGTTGATGATAGAGCAGACACTAGAAGACTAACATGTGCACAGGCACTAAGGGTACCGCACGTGTTCAGGACCTTGGACGAGGAAGAACTAAGACAACTTCATGCAGAGCCCGTGCTCTCGCAGCATCGAGAGCAACAGCAAACGCCACAGCTAGGAAACAGGCTGCCGCAGCAGCTAGGGCAGCAGCCATGACTAGCTCATCAGCATCCTCTGTGGCTTTGTCAGGGACTAATGCGATGAGTGTGGGAAAGCCAACTAGTTCCACAAGTTCCTCGGGCACTTCCGGATCTACGGGTTCTAGACAGTCTACTAGTCAGACGGCAGGCTCACAGTTCAGCCCCATGACTGCACGTGAGCGGGAGCTCAGAGAGATCCAACAGGTCGAGAGGCTCCGCCAGCAGTTAGGAGGATTTGAAGAAAGCAACCGATAGAGAAAAAGAGAGAAAAAGTAGAGCGGCCAGACTTGATACGTTAGAGGCTGACAAGGCTGCGTTAGAGGGATTACACGAATCGAGTTTGCCTGACACCCTGAAAGTGTTGAGGGACAACATGTTGTCACTGCATGCGCACGTAGACAGCAGGATGGACTTCACGCAAAGCACTTGGACCAGATCCTGGATGCATTGACAAAGCCAGGATACCGGTCACCAGCACAATCGCCGTTGCCATTAATGGCGATGTCAGGTCCCTTTGCCGTACAAGCTGGCACACAGCCAAGTGGTACGTCTGCAGCAGCAGCACAGACTGTTGCATCTTCTTCTTCGGGTCCAGCGGTGATAGCTACATCACCACAACAACCTGTCCAGCAATCTGGACAGCAGCAAGGTCAATGGTACCCCAAGACTCCAACGAAATCGCCTCTTGCCTTCTCAGGCGAGAGAAAGGACGAAGAACTCATCACATGGTTGAGAACAGTCCCGGTTTGGGTGAAGGCCAAAAGGACCTTGCCTGAGGATGAAGTGGTAACTGCGGCGTCTTACCTAGTGGGTAAGGCAGCCAAATGGTTAGATGGTGTAGTTGTGAACGCCGGGTATGGGCGACGCATGGCGGATTGGGCTAAGTCATTGACTTTAGACCAATTCATGGAGATCGTAGAAGCTCGATGGCATAACCCACAGGAGGCTCAAAGGGCCACTAATGCCATTAACAAACTTGACCAACGCAAGTTCAGGTCAGTTAGAGAGCTTACGACTACCGTCGAGAGCCTGATCCCCGTCCCAGGCATCAACTACAGTGACCAGTTCCTCTTAACCATGTTAGATGTCTACCTGAGAACATGAAGAACTTACTAGCCAGTGAGGCACGCACTGAGTACCACTCATTTGAGACATTGTCTAGGGACGTCTTAGCCACGCTAGGCAATGTTCAACCCACCTCAGGGAATGACTCAAAGAAGAAAAAGAGTCCTCAGGAGTGGAAGAAGAAGGGGGCGAAGTTGATGATGGTTGAGTCTGATGGGACTCAAACTGAAATCGATGAGCTCTCTAACCTGATGGACTACTCAAAGTATGACGGCGAGGAGATAGCTGAGGGTAGCATCCTCGCCGCGGTAGTCGCCGCGGTAGTAAAAACTAAGGCAGCTGGCCGAGGGAAGGGCCAACCAAGGAGTCAAGGGAAGGCCGCCTCCAATCAGTCCAAACAGGCTGAGTGGGTAAAGGCTGGTCTTGATCAAGACATGTGGCGTGACCGCCGATCGCGTGGCGCTTGTATCAACTGCGGGGAATACGGACACACACAGTGGAAGTGCCAGAATGCGAAGGTTACGCAAAAGGTTGCACCAAAGGTTGGGGCAACTATTCCCCAAGCTTCTAGCTCGGGAAACACGTAGGGCCAGTGGAAGTAATAGCGGCTTCTACTCAAGATGAAGTGGGAATGATACCCTCCTCACTTCGTGACAAGGCCGAAGCTATTGACTCCTTAGTCACCCTGCAGACACAACTTGACCAAACTATGCTCTGTACGTTAGATGTGTCTGAGGCCTTAGAAGACTTAGAAGGCGAGTGGTCAAACAAAGACCCTCGCGAGTCTTGGGTGGCGCTAAAGAAGGGTCCTAGAGGGGAACATTTCGTGGTGGAAGTAGATGTAGGAGGCCGCAAATGTGGAGCCTTCATAGACAATGGATCCACGCGAAATTACATAAGTCGCGATTGTTTGGAAAGGCTGCACCTACAGGACCCGGTACAGCACCTTAGTAGACCAGTGGCATCTACTTCGGCCAACAAAGAGCGCATGATTGTTACAGACTACATAAAGGACGTAGTCTGTACCTTCTCCTATGGAGGAGGAGAGCTTAACCACAAGATCTCGTTCTTGGTTAGTGACGACTTCCCTTTTGAAATGTTGTTAGGTATGTAGTACCTCGAAGTTGCTAAGCCCCAGTTCGACTGGGATAAGAAGGTGCTCAAGCAAAAGTTACCATGGTCGAACTATCAAATTGACTCAGTTCAAAGCAGTATTATAGATACCTATGGCTGCTTGTGTGCATCAGCGTTCTACAAATATTACAAGCAAAACAAAGAGGGTATGTACCTTGTTTATGTCTCTGAGAAGGGGGAGGCCGTTAAAACTCCCCCAGAGATAGAACGCGTCGTTAAGTTCCCTGATCTATTCGAGGAGCCCACAGGAGTTGTTGATAGGGAAGTCGTCCACGCTATACAAATTCCAAGGAGTAAGACCCCAAAGGGAGGTTCTCTAGGATGGCCCCTGCCGAGTTAGATGAACTTCGAAAGCAACTCAAGGCGCTGACAGAGAAGGGATGGATTCGGTCTAGTACTTCCCCTTGCGGATCACCTGTGCTATTCGTACCGAAAAAGGGGGGTACTTGAGGATGTGCATTGATTATAGGGGCCTCAATGCCATCACAGTGAAAAACGCAAAGCCTCTACCTCGCATAGATGACCTATTGGATAAGGTGCAGGGATGCAAGTACTAGATATCACCAGATCGCAATACGACCTGAGGACCAACACAAGACAGCTTTTCAGACTAGATATGGTCTGTATGAGTTTGTAGTGATGCCTTTCGGTCTTTGTAATGCGCCGAGTACGTTCCAGCACGCTATGAATCGGATCTTCCATGACCATTTAGATAAGTTTGTCATGGTCTACTTGAACAACATTCTGATCCTTATTGGCCACACTAAGATACTATACTTGGGTCATGAAGTATCCATGGAAGGGATTAGGCCGGAGGATGCGAAGGTGGCTAGTATTCGAAACTGGCCACGACCTCAGACATTCACTGAGGTCAGATCATTCTTAGGAATGTGCGTCTACTATAGGAACTTCGCAAAGATCTATTCTACAGTCGCCTCTTCTTTGACTGATCTAACTCGACATGACACACCGTGGGACTGGAGTGATGAGTGCGAGGGTGCTTTCAAAAGATTGAAGCATGCACTCATGAATCATGAAGTTCCCATGGTTCCCGATCCCCAAAAGCCATTCATAGTGACCACTGACGCAAGCCAATATGGCATTGGCGCAATGCTGGCTCAGCAAGATGGGAAAAAGTTGAGACCGATTGAGTACATGAGTAAGAAGATGCCATCGAAGAAGCTGGCTAAGTCCACCTACGAAAGGGAATTCTATGCTCTCTACAAGGCACTTGTCCATTGGAGACACTTCCTTTTGGGAAGGTTCTTCTATCTGAGGACTGATCATCAAACCCTCAAACGGATCAAGACTTAACCGGCTCTTTCTGATGCACTCGAGCAATGGATTGAGGTCATAGACCAATATGACTTCAAGCTTGAGTACCTGAAGGGAGAGTACAACAAGGTTGCAGACGTGCTATCCCGTAGAGCAGACTACCTAGGTGCGCTAGTTTCTGAATTTGACGTATCTAATGAAGTAACTCATTCATTGGTGGGAGCCTATCAGGAAGACCCTGTCACGATGGACTTCATCCGCAAACTTCAAGCAAAAGACAAGGCCACAGAAAGTGAGTTTGTGATGGTGGATGGGCTAATCTATCTTGATAAGGCCGGAGTAAAGAGATTGGTAGTTCCATCTAGTGAACAGTTGCGTACTTTATTTTTAGGCGAATGTCATGAAGCAACTGGGCACTTTGGCCACAAGAAAACGAGTGCTAACTTAGTACAGCGATTTTGGTGGCCCAGAATGCTAGATAACAAAGAAGTATGTTGAGACCTGTCAGGTCTGTCAGCGGGACAAGCCGCGAACTCAAGCACCGCTTGGGTTATTGAAGCCTTTACCTATTCCTGATGGCCCAGGATTGAATTTTTCCATGGATTTCATGGACACTCTTGTGACCAGAAAGAGTGGTAAGAGGCACATTTTCGTCATTATAGACCGATTCACCAAATACGCTAGACTAGTTCCAATGCCAGAGACTGCCAGGACAGAATACGTCATCAAGTTGTTCAAGGACAACTGGGTAAGGGACTTTGGTTTACCAAAGACCATAATTAGTGACCGAGACGTCCAATTCACAAGTGAGCTATGGAAGAAGACTGCAGAATAGATGGGCAGTCAACTTCAGATGACTTCAGGGAATCATCCCGAAGCCAACGGACAGGCCGAACAAATGAATAGAGTTATGCAGCACTTGCGGAGGCATTACATCAAGCCCAGCCAGGATGATTGGGATGAGCAGTTACCTCTCATCGCCAGCCTGTACAACAACGCTATACATAGTAGTATCGACGTTAGTCCTAACCAGCTGCACTTAAGATGGAAGCTTAGATCAGCATTAGACTTCCTCCTACCTGAAAACCAACCCGCTGCAACTCCAGGCACACTTGAATACGGTGTGCAATATGAGAAGTTGCTGCAAGATGTTGTTGAACATATAAAGAAAGCTCAGCAAGCCATGATTGCTTCTGAGAATCAACATCGCAGACAGTCCACATTTCAGGTAGGGGAACGTGTCTGGGTCAAGGCTAGTGAGTTAGGACAAGAGTTAAGAATATCTCGCAAACTAATGCCTCAATACTTTGGTCCCTGGGAAGTCTTGGATGTAGTGGGAGATGAGTTGGATGGTCCCACATATGTCATTCGTGTCCCCGGACACCTACGCACTCACCCAGTCTTTCATGCCTCAAAGCTTGCACCTTTCGCTGAGTCTGATCAATTCCCTTCCAGGAGATCGATGCTGCCCCCAACCATGAATGGACAAGTCGACATCGATGACATTGTGGATCACAAGGATATGCCTGTTCCGAAGCCGCTGGGTCGAGGAAGACCTCCTAAACCCAAGAGAGAGTACCCGATCAGATTCAGGCATCATACGGATCCAAAAGAAGGTCGGTGGTTTACCCGGGAGGAACTGATGGAAACAGCTCCTCAGGTGGTGGCAGATTATGAACGGAAGCTAAAAGGGAAGGCACCTGCGAAGTAAGCATCTCAGCGGACTTTCGAAGCTAAGGGGGATTGAATGTGAGGATTTTGCCCTCAAGTAGGGGCCTTGCCATGATGTTCATGTTCTGGGCTAAGGACCCAGCAAGCCTAGTGCCCGCTCTAAGTGAAGGCGGGCCAGCAAATCAACTAGAGCCCTCTATGCCAACATTTCACGAAGTGCGGTCTATACAGTTGCAGCACGCCATTTGGTTGGAGTGCACCGAGTCTCGGATTTCAGCAAGTGCTGAAATGCCCAGGGCCTCTAGTTAGTTAGGCCCTGGGCACACGAACGTGAGGCCGACAATGCATGCTGGGTAGAGAGGCCGAAATGCCAAAGGGAAAATTCCCACTATCTGAATCTGGCCGCAGGCCTTGATAAGAGCGGCGCAACTGCATTGCTCCGGGGCCCAACTGTATCTGGTAGGCTTCAGCCTCTGGGTCCCGGTCGCAGGCTGAAGGAAGGCCGCCCACTCGCTGCATTGGATATAGGCAAGCAGGGCGAGGCAGCAGGGATCTTGGCCAACGCTGGCACTTGCAGGCACGCTGCGCGGATGCATGTGTGCTGCGCTGTGCAAGGCAGTGCTGCGCTAAAGAGCAAGCAGGCCAGCGCTAGGCGGTAGGGCGCTGCCTGCATTGAGGGCACTGGCGGCCATAGCCTGGGCCGCATGAGGATGCAGGGGAGGTGAGGGCGAAGGTGGTACTTTGGACGTGAAGGGCGCTGTGTGGGTAACAAGGGAGAGTGTGGGGAAGATAACTCCTGGTGATGGTGGAGGTCGGCATTGGTGTTGACATCATCACTCATTGGTAGTCAAGTTGTCTGGTTGCTTTTCATTGCTGTAGTTGTAGGATAGCTGTAGAGTAGATAGGGCACCTGGCTCCATTCACAAGAGAGCTACATTTGGGTTATGCTGTTGGTGTTGCCCTGTTGGGCATGGACATTGACTCACGATTCTTCTGTATCATTCTCAATKGGATGGTTACTCGGTTCCATGTGCTATCTGCTTTGGCTTTGACTAATTGGACTTCAGTGTGATTTTGCATACTGGATTTCTGTGCTTAGTCCATACTCATGCTCCTTGCACCACCAACAACAAAAAAAAAAAAAAACAACGAAAAGAAAGGTAGCAGCAATTGCACAATCTACAATTCACAAAGACAGCAATTCAAAATTTACCCAACGAAGCTCATGGATGATATGATTGCTAACCACAAGCAGAAACTGACCACCTATAATTCAAGCTTTACCCAATGAAGTTCATTGATGATACAATTGCTAACCAGAAGCAGAAACTGACGACCTATATTTTAATTCTTAACCACTGAAAAAATCAAAATGTGGCGGAAGAGTCCACTGCACCGCACAACTAAAAGCCCACACCCACGTCCACTTCCAAGGCGACGAACTGGAGACAACCACGAGAGATGAGGAATTCACGATCTGACTGCTCACATATGGAGAGTGGGGAACCCACACATGAATCAAGCACAGATTGCAGGCAGAACTGCACAACTCTATCACTCGAGAAGAGAGCATCAATGACGGAAGGATTTCGGACATTGCAATCACCTGCTGGATGGCATTGAACATGGGCTCGAAGACGTCGGTATCGTAGTTGCTCATCTTGTTCTGCAGGACTGACGTCAGGCGCTCGAAGCCCAGTCCAGTGTCGACATGKTTCTTTGGYAGAAGCTTCAACGATCCRTCAGCMTCGCGATTGARCTGCAATGCGAGTTGCAGAATATGCATTGGCATAAAATCAAAACGCACAACCGGACGAACTGGGGCGCAGCACACACAACAGAAAGAGAGAGAATGCATCCATCACCTCGCCAAGTTCATCTCGACAAATGCTTCAAACCTCCAAAACACTCATCGCATATATTTTTCCCACCTCTCAAAGATCGAATCACGAAACTCCCCTTCTTAAAGATTCATGCATGCGGTTCTAGTGTGAAAACTTTCCCTTTCTCTAAAAAGCTCACAAACTCCTTTTCCCTAGAAAACTGTTTGCAATGAAGAACTTGATTAAAAACAAATTAAGTTGTTGTAATGTGGAAGTTTAACAATACCCCACACTTCCGGGGAGGGGAAAAACAAACACACTTCCGTTTCTCTCGTTCAAAGTGATGCAAGTTCACATCTGCTAAGATGCTCAGGAACCCACGAGGGCTTCCATGCATATATATACCACTTCCCAAAGATCACACAGCTCCAAATGCATTTCTTTTTCCTTTTCACCGCACGTACCAGATACCAACTTACATTTGCAAGAACAAGGAAAAGCCCATAACCCATCAACTTCTAACATGCATGCAACAGATCCATCACTTTCGATAGACGAGAATCAAATTGACTGCTCTCCTAATCCGGAGAGCGGTGAATTGAGACCTCTCAGTGGAAAACACCTGGGAGCAAAAAGGTCTGCACTAACAGCAGTTTCGTATCCGAGCTCGCCAATAAAAATGGTCTGAATTTACCATTGTTAAGATAAGAGCCCCATTACATCAAATTCAGCACTCATACACTCACTGGATCACTCTGAGACGAATCCCTCAAAAGACGACCTTATTTCCATGTGCGCCCAGGTCCACAACATTCCACGTTTCACACAGACATCGTCTCTCTCTCTCTCTTTCTCTCTCTAACTAGGGTATTCCTTGCACCGCTGACTGCCCTATTTGTGCTTTCCCAGCTTCACACAAGTATGCTGCAGGGCTTCTGCGAAAGACTCGAATGGAAATTGTGTTGACGTTTGCAGCCGCTGTTTGTCTTGTTGCAGCTCCCAAAACTTGAACTTTGAACTGGTACCGGGCTCTCGCTTGTTCTCTCTCTCTCTCTCTCTCTCTCTCTCTCTCTCTCTCTCTCTCTCTGTGTGTGTGTGTGTGTGTGTGTGTGTGTGTGTGTGTGTGTGTCTCTCTCTCTCACGCACACACACCCATTCTCTCATGAAAGTAGCTCTCGCAGGCACATTTTAATGGGGAAAACGATTTTATAGAGATGTCCATCAGAGGTTCAATTACTGACCTGAATGAACACGTTGTTCCAGATTTCAATAACCGTTGGGTCATCAGCATTGACAAATGACGAGGCATCACGGTCGCCAATTCTATCGTAGTGTATTTCCGTGCAAGGGCCGCACGGACCCTGGTCGCCCATTTCCCAAAAATTGTCCTGGAATGCAAGAACGACCAATATATGACAAGAATGGCATATCATCATCAACTCTAATTCACATCTGCCGAGAACACATTTTGAAAAATGAAATTACCCAGAGCACTGCATCGACAACAGAATTCTTTCTACACAAATGGAGAACTACCATCATCTCAAAACAAAATTCGCGCTGCAACATCGTATATTGCCCAAAGAAATCAATACAGCCATTTCTGCAGCCTTTTGCGCAAAGAAAGCCCTCCCAGCACACCATGAATTTCATTAATGGAGAGCTACGAGCAACCACCGGACCGACCACTACTCGAAGCTCGAAATGTGGTTAAGACACACGATTCTCGTCTACTTCATTCATATCTCGTCCATTTCAAAAAAGCATTCACATACACAAATCATTCCCTGCTAAGCGTGGTTACTGATGAATGCTAATGACCATCGAACTAGACCCGCATGACCATCGAACTAG